TGCAGATGACCTACTTTAAGCCTTTAAATTAGTACATCTTCATTAAAGGAAGAGGATATTTTCTCCAGTTGACAAGTGTAGTAATAAATGATGCTTGATCGTCTAATACAGGAACCGGAGCTCTCTGCATAGCTAAGGAAAATCAGCTAAATAACTTCACATGTCAAATTTCTCCATGTAGGGTAGTTGGTACGATTGCAGATCATCACTCACGGTTGCTGTGACCTGGTCTGACTCTCTGTGTTGGTCCACCGTATTAGCCATGGCCTTACAATTATTAAATCGCATTGTCTCGATTTCACTCCTCGCATATTTAGAAGTTAATGCGCAAGTTGGACCTCAATGGGGATGGCATAATTACGCTAGGAGAGTACAAAGTTGCACTGAACATATCAAGTCAGCCTATGGATGCGTAAGTAAACACTTTATTATATAAAACTCAATACATCCGAAATTTCTGTTTTGTGACATTTCAATAATTTTACCGTTCGCCAACCATTCCTTCAATTGTCAGTTTAACTAACCATCCTATTGTATTCTAACATTTGAAAGGATGTTAATTTGTGTGTGGAAGTGCTTTTAGTTTTTGGGTTCCCTCAGTTCAATCCTAGTCTTTTATGCCATCCAAAATATCCTGATATATCTTTATATGTCCATTAGACAAATTTAAACAAAATGCTATAAATGATTTGAAGTGAGTGAATAACTTAGCATTATCAAACCCGACTGCATACATTTTTTTCTTCATAAGATGGAAGGAGATGTTTGAAGACCTTGACAAAGACGGAAGTGGAACATTAACTGCCGACGAATTGAAGGAGTTTCTTCGTCAAACGGGTTCCGAGGACTTGCAAGAGACCGTAGATAACTGGATGGAAGACTATGACACAAATAAGGATGGCAAACTAAGTTATCAGGAATTTTTGGGATTCGTCGCATCTCTTGAATGCTGATTCTGTGTCGATGACTGCACCAATAACCTTGAAGTGCAGTTCAAGCATTTTGAATGTACTTCGAGTGTACATACAATCCTTTTTTGTAATCTTATTTTCATTAAAAACGGCTTTTGCTGAAGCATGTCTTTTGACTAATAAGACGCTAGTCCAGCTAAGATTGCTAAGAAGAAAGAATTCATTTGTCAGAGGAAAAGGTATTTTACGAGAGACGTGCAAATTACTAGTGTCTTTTTACGTACAACTGTGACGTTGAACTATTTGCCATGAAGTAGACCTTCTAATGGCCTTACGATTTCTTTTCCCTGCCGTTGCCCATTAGGGATGAAAAGTTGAGACGTCTTCATGATAAGTTAATTTTGGTTTTGCTTAAATGATGGGGTGATGCTAAATCAGACTCCGGAGTATGCCCGTTTCAACGTTTCACTGGAAAGCATTCCACATCCGCTTGCTCGTTTTCGACGCTGTAACTCTTCATTCACAACTGAACAACTCCGAATGCACTATTTACTAGCAACATCTGGTCACGTCCATTAACCCTAAAGCTGACATAGGAAACTTCAATGAGTATGAGTCCAGTTTCCTGTATCCAGTATCTCCCATGGACATTAGAATGCTATGGGAGAACAGTTGGAAACACCGCAGTCCGGCAAAACGAAGTCAGTAAACCAACAATAGACAAGAAGGGACTTGGCATTATTTCATGTTTATTTAGCTGAAGGAAACTTCTACCTCATAGACGTAGACAAATCTGGAGTAATTTACGCTGAGAAACTGATTCTGATTATGAAGAATTCCGAAAATGGCCGTCAAAAAATTAGATCAAGCAGCATGAGGCACACAGACATGGGATTTAAAAAGGAAAATACTTTCTCTATTTCTTTGCTCGGCAGGAGTTTCCTTGGTAGTGGCGGAACAAATCTTCACATTTCCAGGTTTGTCGACAGCGATTCGAGCTCGATCCGAGCTCGATCTGAGCTCGATTTGAGCAAAATTAGGGTTAGGGTAAGGGTTAGGGGTTAGGATTAATGTTATGGTTAGAGTCAGAGGTGAGGGTTAGGGTAAGGGTTACGGTAAGGGTTAGGGTTAGGTTTTAGGGTTAGGTTTAGGGTAAGGGTTAGTGTTAGGTTCAGTGTGGGATAGTGATATCTTATGTAAGAAGCCCGAAGTTTCTGCTTAATATTACAAAAGTCTTCAAAAAATCCATTATTACTGGGTTTGGGGCAAAGGAAAGTTTTCGGAATATAACTCCACATTTCCAAGATTGTCGACAGCCATTCGTGCCCGATTCGAGCTCAATTCGAGCTCATTTGTTTTTTGCGCCCTTTTTCGATTTACGCGCCCAACGCCGTCGGCCTATAGCCACCGTATTAAAATATTTCGGCAAAGTTTTACGACTTTTTTTTCTTGTTTTCACAAAATCCTTTTTTTTTGTTAATCACTTTTATCAACTTAAAAA